GAATACACAGGTCACAGGTTCAACTCTCGGGGTCTACACAGATACTGTACATGGGTAGGGTGAGGTCTAGGGATYGAACCCTGGGTACTGTATCCGCTACTGCTAAAAGGTGAAAACCGTTTCGCTCCCGCCGTCCTAAATTCGAGGGCCTCCGAGAACATTTCAGTCCAAGGCGGGACCTTTACCTTTCTTGTCACGCTCATAGGCTCTGACTATGTCGGGAGCGGTCTGTAGAAGTTCTGTTTTCGTGAACCAGCGGTCGTCTTCCGGTTTCTTATAGGCAAACCAGACTTTATACTGTTTCTGGGGACGACCTCTACCTCCCGTCCTAAACACATCCTCGTCTACAATGCCCTCTATGTCGTAGCTCCCATCCATATCCGGTGGGATCATGGATCTTCTAGAAGGGAACTGTTGGCTTGTAACACATGGCAACAACTTTGAAGCATGGAACACAGGATATGTGTGGAGGTGTACTGGGATCTCTATAGTGTATGATGGTCCATCCTCTCCGCCCTTCACTTCTAGAACCGGCCACGGTCCTCTATATGCAGGCAGTAACTTCTGCGAGATGTTTTCTTCAGGCGCAAACTCTTTTGCCTTGACCCAGACTAAGTCGCCTACTTGAAACTGTGATGGGCGACGGTGCTTATTGGCCTGTTCTATCATCCTATGCTGGGCCTCACGGAGGTTCTCAACAACAGTGGCTAATTCTTTTTCGTGCTGTATCGCAAACTCCCTGGTACCGGGCGGTAGACTGTGAATCTGATCCCGGTTCAGTCCTTCGAACGGTCTGCGCGGTCTAAAGGACTTGTGCAACTCATTGGGAGTGCGGCAGGTGGATAGATGCACATTGTTGTTGTATGCACTAGCGACCTTGGGCAACATCTCATCCCAGTTGATCTGATCTGGTCTAATATACATGCGCAGAACTTGCTGTAGGATCTTRTTCATCTGTTCTGTCTGACCGTTAGTCTCTGGGTGACGGCCAGACGACATTAACAACTTAGATCCATATACTCTCATGAGTTCTTGCCAGTTCTGGCTGGTGAAATGACTATCTCTATCACTAACTATCGGCAGTGGGATTCCATTCTCACTAACCCAAAAGTCAAAGAACTTTTGTATCACTAAATCTGTACGTGCCTCTGCAGGCAAAGGGACAAAAACAGCATACTTGCTAAAGCGGTTGACTATGACCATGACTTGGCTTTTACCATGTCTACTTTTGACTTGGGTGTTCATGAAGTCTATGGACACTGAGTCCCCCGACTGATCCGGAATAGGCAAGGGTCTGAGAAGACCTAGGGGCGCGCGTGTAGTAGTCTTATTCATTTGGCACACTTTACAACTACGGACATACTCTATGCAGTCATTCTTCATCCCTGGCCAGGTGTACGCACACATCAGATTGGCTAATGTCTTTTGCCAACCAAAGTGTCCCTCTGTATCGTGGCATTCCCCTAGGATCAAACTACGAATCTCTTCGTTGTTGGGAACGCACAAGCGGTCAAACACATTAGTCTTCTCAAACAGCAACCCGTCTGTAGTGCGGTAATCTGGTTCGGTCTCTGGGGCCTCTCTAACACTCTTTAGGAGGTCGCTATAGATAGGGTCCTGCGCATACGCTTGCTTCACTTTTTTTGCAGGTCTCTCCCTATATCCAGATAATGTACTATGACTCCAAAGTAGTCTGATCTCCTACTCAGAGTATCCACAACTACGTTGTATTTGCCCTTCACTGGCTTAAGTTCAAAGTCATATTGGTCTATCTCTGCGGCCCACCTAGTCAACTTAGGTGTCATCTTGGCCTGGGTCTTTAACCATCTAAGCGTTTCATGGTCTGAATATACTTTGAAGTGCCTCCCAAGCAGGTAATGCTTCCAATGGTCTAGAGCCTGCCTAAGAGCGTAGAGTTCTCTCTCGTATGTCGAGGTGGCTACCTTCTCTGAGGGCATCCTCGCGGACATGAACTCTACGGGTCTATAGCCATGACCGTCGTCCTGCTGTAACACGACGCTAATTCCATACTAACTTGCGTCCGTGGTCACGACAAATGGCAAAGACGGATCTGCAACTTTGAGGACAGGGTACTCTATCAGTGCGCGCTTTAATCTCTTTAGCACAGATGTACAATCTTTGTCCCATTGCCAGATTGCTTCTTTCTTTAGTAGTCTGCGCAAGGGAGCGGCGATAGTGAAGAAGTTCCTCACGAACTTCCTATAGTAGTTAGCTAAGCCTAGGAACGACCGCAACTCTGTCAGTGTGCGGGGCGTTGGCCAATCTCTAATCGGCGCTATCTTACTGTCCTCTGGCTTGATGCCATCTCTGTCTAATACGTGGCCCAAGTACAGGACTTGTGTCTTGACCCACTTGCACTTCTTCGCGTTGATCTTGAAGTTAGCCTCTCTAAGCTTCTCCAAGACCTTCCTCAGATGACCCTAGTGCTCCTGGAGGGTCTTACTGAAAACTAGAATATCATCTAGATAAACTATTACAAACTTATCTAACCATGGTCTAAACAGGTCATTCATACAACGCTGAAAAGTAGCTGGCGCGTTGGTTAGTCCAAAGGGCATCACTATGAACTCATAGTGCCCGTATCTAGTCCGGAACGCAGTCTTGTACTGGTCATCAGGATGAACCTCTATCTGATAGTATCCGAACTTTAAGTCTATCTTAGAGAAATACTTGCAACCCTGTACCCGATCTAAAAGATCGTCTATCCTGGGCAGCGGCTCAGCATTCTTCACGGTAATTGCATTCAAACCCCTATAGTCTATGCACATACGAAGCTCTCCTTCCTTCTTGGGGACAAACAAGACTGGTGCTCCAAAAGGAGACGAATTGGGCCTGATCCAACCTTTCTCTAGGAGCTCATCTAATTGCTTGCGCAACTCCTCTAAATCTCTAGGGGACATTCTGTAGACTGCACCCTTAGGAGTTTTACTGCCAGGCTCTATCTCTATCCTGTGTTGGATGGGTTGCGGGACTACCCCTGTTGGCGACTCAGTCAAATCTTTGAATTCTTCCAGCAGCTTGGCGATCGTTGGATCTGTGGAACTATCCTCTTTCTTGGCCTCAGTGACAGGTCTAACATAAACTACAAAGACCTGTTCCTCTAACTGCTCCTTTTTTACTAATCGCGCGAACGCGGGAGCACTGAGACAGCAATGTGCCAAGGTGTTGTCTACACCGGACACATGGAACAAGCGGGCATTCTTAACCTCGCCTGACGGACTAGGGAGCCTACACTCATGCTCTCTCAAATGGAGTGTGGCCCCTGCTGCCTCCCTCCAATCCATTCCTAAAACTACGTCAAAAGGAAGGTCACCTCAACTTTTTCAGCGCCCTACGGCTAATATAACTACGGGTGGCCCCTGAGTCTACAAGGGGCCCTACTCTGCTTCTAAACACCTCTACATCCACCAAGATCAGCTGTCCTTTACTCTCTTTCTTCATTTTGGCCTTGGCAGGCTTTTAACTCTTCCGCCACACCTGTGATGGACGTGCCTAAAGAGACGCTAACACAGGCGGTCTCTAGACAACTAGCCAGGCACGGGCCTGCAACTTCTGCCATAGGCTCATGTGGTTTGGGAGTGTCCTGTTCGCGCGCGCTCACTTTTCTACATGGCCTTGAAGTAGGGGCAGTTGCGACCCCTACTTGCGGCTGCCTTTTGACCACTGAGCAGCCCAACGGGTCTATCTATACTTTGGACAAAATTTTATTACGTGAGCTGGGTCACCACAAAACACACACTGACCCAGGTTCACGCGTTCCTGCCATAAACGATGGTCCAAGCCCAAGTCTTCCCAGGGCCTGCCCTATGGCAAGCCTGGGTGCCATCCTCCTTGAGGTGCCCTTCCACCTCTTCGCTGTGGGGACCGATTACCCTGGCGGTTTTGCGGGGGACCTTGACCCCTACCTCCCGCTTGGCGGTTTTCCTGTCCGCCAACCCCCTGTGCGTCCGGTCCTCGGCCTCCTCCTCCCCTACCTTGCGGCCTCCCCCCAACCGCGACGGCAGCATAGGACCTCCCCTGTCCCACACTACCGTCCTCCTCCTCAAGGCCCCACTCGATCTGACTGTATGGGACCTCGTCGGTACCACCTTCCTCTAATATCAGGATCATATGATCTTTGGCCTTAACTTGACCAGAGATGGTACGACCTTTCCACTTCTTCCCCTTATCCAAGTCCTTGTGCCAGAAAGTGGTAACTGACATGGACTTTGACTCATACAGGACGACCTCTCTACTCAGCGCATCATAAGTGATGCTGGCCTGTTGAGATTTGTCAAAGAAGTGCCCACGCAGGGCCTCTGGTATGGCACGATAAAATAATTGGACCAATTGGGTCTCAGTGACCCCATGGTCTGGGACGGCTACCAAGTCGTCCATTGTGCCCTTGAGTGCTCTTGCACTCCTCCACTGTCGCGAGTGGATCGTTTGTAGCTTATCAGAGGCGCGAACGCCTTTCGTTGGGTCTGCAAATCGCTCCTTCAAGAGCTTGAAGAATTGAGGGAGAGTGGTGATCATGGAATATGCAACCATGTTGTTTTCACAACTGGCTGCGCGCGCAAGGGACCTAGCAAAACTAGCCGCCTCATCCTTAAAGGGCCTGGAAGGCCACGAGGACTTGCTCCTCACTTAGGATGTGCTGTAAATATATATAGTTGTTGACACTTCCTTCCCAGTTGTCAAAGTTTTCTTCCTTCTTTCCCCCGTACGCATCTGGAAACTTGAGCTTTACAGGCTCTTTACGGGGTCTGGCCTCGCCCTCTACAACGGCTATCGCTTTGGGACCTTCAATGGCACCTTCGTAGAACTTTCCCACGCTGTCTCTCGATCTCTTAACTTCCCCTCCAACGTGGGTAACCATATCGTGCGCAAAATCCCTAAATCCCGACCGCATGGCACCCAGGGCTACCTCTTGACTCCAACTGGCCTGACGCTCCTTCATCCAGGCTGCACTCAACACTTCCACATAACCCAGCATCTTGTCCATCTTGGCAGAAACATCTGCCTGTGCCCCCACTTCTCACCTACAGTCCTGCACCTTTGCCACTTCTGCGGTCAAACTATTAACTTCCTCCCTCCTCTTCTTCTTCTCTCTCTTCATCCTCAGCTTCCATTCCAATTTCTTCTCCTCTTCTCTTTCCCTTCGTTCCAGAGGGTCCTCCATCGGTGCTAGTTCGCTGGCCAACGCATCCCTCTCGTCCTTTGGGACGTAAAACTCTACCTCCTCATCTTCCCCCAACGATAAATTAGCGATCCACTCACTTTTTTTTTTCTTCATCTTTGCTTCTTCTTTCATCATGCCACTGCTCTCTGCTTCTTTTCTCTTTCGTTTCCTTTCCTCCTCTGCTTCTGCTGCCGCTTCTTCTTCAACAACCTTCTTCTTCCTCTCCATCTCCTCCTCTAACTCCTTCATCTTTGCCGCCTGCTCCTTTGCGATAGCCTTTAGCTTCGCTTGCTTCAGAAACTCCTTCCTCTCTCTGTTTTCCTTCACTATGGCGTCCATCTTCTCTTGCTGCTCCTGAGTGTAGGGGCTAGTGCTAGTCCCACCGCGGGTCTCAACCATGGTGTTGGGTGTACAACCGGATTAGTGGTTCCAAACCTCACCACGTAGACGCTAACCCCTAACTGACAGACCTACTGACTCAAGCTAATGACTCACAGAATCCTGACACAGATCCTGTCAACTATGGTCTCTAGCCTAGACCTATGTTATGGCTGTCACAACTAGACCTGTTGCTGATCTGGAGGCATTTAAGGAGATCCCCCGTAACTCCTCAAGAATTCTTTAATGTCGCAGACAGGACGACGTGATCAGCAGGTCTTTACCTGTCGCACCGCCCACAACTCAGCTTTTCAGGCCTACCGTGCCACACCGAGCAGCCCGCCGGTCAATACCGGTCCTTGGGAGGGTGTGACCTCCGGGACAGTCGAGTCGTCAGACACAGTCTTTAGCCTTACTTAGTCTGACAGGGGTTCGGGTCAACAAGGCCCTCAACACTTGGACTGCCTCTTGTTTCAGCCCACAACTCAGTCTTTCAGGCCTACTGTACCATACCAACCGTGTCCAGCCGATCAGCACCGGTCCTTGGGAGGGTTATGCCCCCCTGGACAGTTGGATCTGCCACAGTCTCAGCCCTACTAGATCCGGTAGGGATTTCATCATGCAGGCCCTATCCCTCATCCACAGAGTACTATCACCTAGGACAGAAGAGACTCGATGCAGAAAGAATAGACAGACAGACTGTACTCAGCAAGTACCAAGGGGTATGTGCACATCCACAAGGCAAGGGATAGGCTGAAGGCTTGGCGAGATGTTACCAACTCCAGCTTGGTCAAAGTCTTGGTCAACGACCTTGGTCAACGCCGGTCAACGTTGCTGTCAACCCTCGGTCAACCCCCGGTCAACTCCGGTAATGCTGGTCAATACCTCCGGTCAACTCCTCTGGTCAACCCTCCGGTCAGCTATGGCTGCCGGCTATGTTGCACGCCCGGCCGCGGCTGGGGGGGGGAAATCGGCCGCGGCCTCGGCCGACGGCCAGATCGGCTAGGTTCGGCCTTGGCCGACCAGCCAAGTTCGGTGCAGGATTTTTACTTTTTTTTCTAACGCATGAAAAAAAAAAAATATATGGGCGTGTAGGGCTAAAAAAACCCTACATGCCCATATTTGTTTTGGGGGCATTGTTGTTTTCTATTGCGGAACAAAAAATAAAAACAGAAAAAAGAAGAAGAAAAAAAAAAACCGCTTCGAAACCCCGCGCAAGTATGTGTGTGTGTGTGTGTGTGTGTGTGTGATCGGGCGGGGGTAGGGGGGGCAACCCCTCCCCCAACAATCAATCAATCAATCAATCAATCAATCAATTAATCAATCGAAAAAAACAAACAAACGAGAAAACGGGTTTTTAAACCTTGCGCAAGTATGTGTGTGTGTGTGTGTGTGTGTGTGTGTGTG